CGGAAAACCTGCGGAAAAGTTGCGGAAAACCTGCGGAAAAGTTGCGGAAAACCTGCGGAAAAGATGCGGAAAACTTGCGGAAAACGGTTCGGAATCCATGTGAAACCATGTTAATTAGTTGTGTTATCGCACGTTTTCTTTACGGCATTAGGTTTTTTCATTGTTTTCCATTGTTTGTAAGACCGGTGTGCCTGCAGTTTTTCCACAAACAACTGGGGATCCCTATAGATGTGATCCACACATTTTTTCACACTTTGGAACACTGTCTCCACAGACTCTTCCCAGACTTTGGAACACTGTCTCCACACGTGTTTTCCACACTTGGGAGTTGCTTTCGCAAGTTGGACAGATGTTTCCCTGCGTCCTTTCCACACCTGTGTCCTCTTTTGGAATGATGTTTCCACACTCTTTTTCCACAGTTACCTTTTTCAGTTTCCACTAGCCCAGATATCGTGTTTGTTCTTTCCAAGTGATAACCAGCGGTAACCACTACTTCAAGTCATTGAGTCAAGAGTATGTGGGCCAGGTGGCAGCGGTTGTCCCAGCCTGTGGCCTGGGGCTCAATACAGTCAGAGTAACACATGACTTAAACTTTAGACTCTAGACTGTCACATTTCAGATCATGGTGGAGGCCTAGGCTATGGCCATGGGCCATGGGCCATGGGCCAAGGCCCCCACTGCTAGTTGTGGTTTGTTTGCTCAGAAAACATCTTGTGCTTTTTGTTCGATCCAAAGGCCCAAACGGGTCCAATTGTGACCTTTTGTGCTTGTGTAGTCCACACCCTGTGGGCAATGGCCCCCAAAAGAGCGCGGAAGAAGCCAGCTGCTAGCTGCAGTGGTCAAGAGTCTGGTCTTCCCGCTGGAAGAAACGAGGCACAAACGCAAGCGCGCAAGTTCAATCGACCAATTGACTGACCCGACACCCTGTTAGTCAGTTTCATTGTCGAGTCAAGTCTACTTCCTCTGTCATTGTTCTGTTTGTCGATATATTGATTTGATTTGTGAACCCTGTTCTGCCACAGGTGCCTGCCATCACATCAGAGCCATCGGCATCGACCGGAAGTCGATTGAGCACTGTGAAGTCGGAGCCAGTCTCGCCTGCTCACAGCAAGATCTTCAACACTCCGTCTCCCAGCTCAGGCTCAGATGAGAACAGCCTGCCTGCCCCTGACAGGCAGGATGAAACTTCAGGTTCAGGTCCCCATGATGGTCATAAAGCTCCTTCAGAGCCCGCAAAGGACACTGCTGAGGAAACTTCAGGGCCAGTTGCTGAAGACCCAGCGCTGGAATATGTGAAAGCCTATGTGCCCAGGCCAAATTGTGCAGCCTCAAACAAACCCTACTCTCAGAAGAGCGCTTCGTTTGTGAAGAACGGGGACGAGCAGTTGGCAGAATTTATTTTGGAAGCTTTGCGCCGTCTAGATGATGGGACAAAGGCTGATACGCTGATGTCCGGTGTTGAAGACTTTGAGATAGGGACCGCATGCAGCGGTACAGATGTCGCGGTGCTAGTGGTGAAGGCATTTTCCCGAGCCTGGCACAAATTTGCTGCCAAGCGCATGCCTGAAGTTTACCACCGCTTCTCGTGTGAATCCGATGAGAAGAAACAACAATTTCTTCTGAAAATGTTCAGGGACACCGAGGATCGAGGTGACCTGGATGTGCTGCTCAGGAACACCATCGATCTGACTTGTGGGGAAGAGGAATCCGTGCACAACATGGTCACAAACAGCCAGCTCAACGGTGTACCCGTTTGCACTGACTTGATGGTGGGTTTCCCGTCAGCAAGCTGAATCCAGCAGCTGAGGATGCACGGTGGGTAGTTCGAGACAGTGGGCGCCGAACAGGATCTGTGTTTGGTCATGTTGCTCAGTATTGCAAGAACGTGCTCAATGACTCACGCTACAAGGGCTGTTTGAAAGGACTGCTTATGGAAAATGTGCTTGGATTGCTTACTGCACCAAAGGGAGTGAGTGAAGAAACTGGACAACCGTGGCACTCCAACCTCGACTACTGCAGTTTGGCAATGCACAACGCTGGCCTCTTCATGATTCCATTCATCCTGGATCCACGATTGTTTGGGTTCCCGTGTCACGACAGCGGGTTTGGATGGTATGCTTGCCACAATGGATGGCGGCTGAAGCAGGGGTCAGCGAGCAGGAGGTCGCACACATGGCCCATGAATTGGTGGACAGGCTTTGCCAGCCTGAGAACGCTGAGAACATGAGGGATCTGAAAGATTTCCTCCTGCCTTATGAACACGAACTTGTTCAGAAGCAGATTCAGCTTGCCAAAGAAGCCAGGGAAAGAGTAAATGCACGGAGTTCGAAGGCAACCAAGAGCTTCAAGCCTTCCAAGTGGGCAGAACAGCATCGTAAAGCTATGGAGGCTGCCGGCCGCGATTGGTGGGAGCCTTCCTTTCCTCAGGACGGTGTATTCCTTGCACATCCCGGCTTGCATGCCCTCACAGAGAGGCAATTTGACCTCTGTTCAGTTTTGCGAATCAAGTTTCCGGACCATCGTGTCGCCTGTGTGGAGCTCTCCCAAAACCTACGTGGAGGCAAGGAGAAGATCGTCAAGAACAATCATGCTGACATTGTCACGCCCAATGGTCAACAGTTGGTGACTCACCAAGCACGGTGCCTTCTTGGGTATGAGACTTTGCCGCTGCAAGGGATCCACTATGGCAAAAGCCAACATCGATTGGATGACTTCGACGATTCCCTATTGAGATCTTTGGGTGGGAACGCCTTCCAAGCGCACTGCTGCGCTATCATGTTCCTGGTCAAAGCAGCGGTGCAGTCAAAAGGAAGCCTTGCGCGATCAGGAAGAGAAAGGCCAAGATTCAGAATCCTGGCATGAAGCCTTCCAAGAGATTGCGAACCATAGATGATCTATGTGAGTGGGACTAGTCGACTTTCACCCTCTGGCCGCTATAGGCTGTAGGTCGGAGCCGCACTCTAATGTCCGGAAGGGTTTGCACAAAAATGTGTTTTTTGCTTTCGCTGACTGTGTTGCCTTGTGGTGGTGAGTGTGTGGGGTAGCATGATTCAGATTGCTGACTCAATGAGTCAATGAGTCACGGAGTGCTGCAAGTAAGCAAGTAAGTATATAAGTAGCTTCAGTGAAGCAACTTCACAGCAGAATGCTCATCAATGTCATGTTTCCGCACTTTCACAGCTAAGTTTACTTGCTGCCCACATTTGATGACCGCTGCTACAGCCTGCAGATCAAAGCTCCTTTGTTTTTGCTTTCAGGTGAAGTTCGTGCTTTGTTCGCAATGCCGGTAAAGTCGGAAGCTGGGACAAATTTGTCCTTGCCTTCCCATGCGTCGCAAAGCTCATTGTGGGGAACAGCTAGCTTCAAGGGGTGTCGATATTGTCGACGTGACAGGAGCTGTGCAAACCCTATGACTGCTATGCGGGATGAGAAACCTCTACTGCAGTTCAAGTCTGAGAGGCATGCAGAGTGTCTTCCTTGCTGTGGGAAGCTTCGTCGGTGCAACCCAGACTTGAGCGCCAGCGACGCAAAAGCTGCCTATGCCAAGAAGCTTGCTGAGGACGACGAGAGCTACCTGCTGCACATGTCTGACCTTGAGGCCTATGAGGAGTCCATCAAATCGAACCCGTCAAAGAAGCGGCGCACCTCCGGTTCGCAACAGAAGGCACTGTCATGATAAAACATTTTAAACTTTTTGCCATTGCTGCATAGCATCTTGTAAGTAAGAAGGCGACAAACGGCGATCACGCTACTGATGCTCACAACCAATAGGACCAAAACCTATACAGCAGAAGTGGTCGTTAGTCATGACTCATGATTTGCGCTGCCCTGCAAGGATGGTGACGACTCAGGCATGCCGGAAGAGGAACGTGAGTCCACCATCAGTATGAACCAGGAGTGTGGAGTTGAGGCTCGGCGTTTGCTGGGCGTGCTTTGGCCCACTGCCATTTACAAGGAGGTGGTAGGTTCAGACCCAAAGCCAGAGCAATTGACAAAGATCACAATTTCTGGTTCTGTGATCACGGGTGTGCTTCGAGACGCGAAAAACGGGCAGCCTTCAGGCGTGGTTTGCTTGCGAATGCTTCTGTGTGAGTATTTTTCCGGCTTGGTAGCAGTAACCAGTAAACAGCATTCATTTTTGCTTGAAACAACGCAGCTGTCATGTGTTAGAGATTATGATTACACAATACAGTGTGCATATGCATTCGGGGCATTGACGCAGGCACGTATGAAGTCACTGATTTCAAGCGGGCTTATGGTGCCAATGTCCTGCAAGCTGCATCAACAAGCACGGCAGTTGGCGCTAACGAGGTGGAGAACACTTGGAAGCATGTGCAAAAAGTGTCGGCAGTCGGTGTGGCGGAGGCAAGACCGGTACCATTTAGTTCACTGAGCTCTGTCCTACATAAGGAGACAGCAAATATAATACCACCTCCCACGACTCACGACAATGATTAAACTATATAATATATAAGTTATATAAGATTTACATTGTATTCGATGATAAAACTGCAGAATATGCAGTAACAGTATGCAGCATGCAGCATGCAAATACACAATTGTTAATATATACTATATATACTAATATACTAGTATAATACACATATAAAGACAGACTTAGGGAGATCAAGGGACGAGGTGTCCTTATTGCAACATATTCCAACCCTGGTTGTTTCTCGAATTTGAATGAGCTTGATCCCGATAATTTAACTAGGCCTGATTCCCTGATAAAGGTCGAGAAAGATGGCGAGACTCACATGTTGCTGGATGCGGCCTCTGCTTCCAAGCGCAACAGGGATGACTTTGACGACCTGCTGGACTTTGCACCGGCAGTTTCCAACAACAATTCAGGCGTGTTGAAGCGTGTAAACTCTAATCCAGTAAGTGGGTTTGGGGGAAGCTCTTGGTCCTCTTGGTTGGTCAATAGGCCACGCCGCCTCATTTGTAGTATTGACGTTTGACATCATTTGACATTTGACTCTCCTGTTGATGTGATGTCACCTGGAGGTCCTACACCGAAACCAAAGCCGCGAGGCAAGCCCAAGCCGAAACCCAGAATGAATGAGAACGGTAGAGACAAGCCACTCACGAAGCAAATGAAGGAGATCCAGAATGGAAAGCGCATCATTCTTGAGTGCAAACAGGCTCTGGAGAACCTGGGGAGTGATGAGTGCTTGGAGGTAGTCAAGCCCAAGATTCTGACTGCGCTGTGTGAGAAAGTCAAGACCCGCTTGACGCCGTCGCTGCGCAGCCTCTACAGCCAGGGATATGACCCTTCAGATCCAGCCTCGCCAACAACACCTGGGATGACATGCCTGGAAAGCCTTCGAAACTACTCACGTATTTTGCTCAGTGTGCAGGAGTCGGAGCGCCTGTTGGGCTGTCTAGGTTTTACTGCTGTCTAGAGTTCCTACTGTTTTGCCGAGTTTTGCCTTTTTCTGGAGTCGCCATTTTAACATGATTCGGTGATTTCTGCCGATGGAGGATTTGGTGAGTGCTCTGCATGATTCCAGCATTCCGGGAGAAGAATTGGTCAAAAGGGCGCAGGACAGCAACAGCAAGGACTTCAGTCCACCTGCAAAGCTTTTTGAGCTGGCACTACAACGTGAAGTACCCGGGCTGAGCTTAGTGGGTTTTTGCTTTGTTTCATTCTCTCCCGCGGTGATTCTGGAAGCCCACCCATGTTCTGATTTCCAGCCATGGTTTAGTTAGGTATTGGAAAAATGAACAGCGTGGAGTCGAGGGGGGGGCGTGCAATGTAATGTTTGTTGAGTTAGGAGTTAGTTGGGGGGTAACTGTGCTCACCCGAGTGCACCGTTAACTTAACATCAATGTTTGCCAAGCCGTCAGGTTGACTCCGCTGTCACGAGCAAGAACTACTCAAGGATCATGCAGCCTTTGGGTGATGAGCAGAGCAAGTTCAACCTGACGGTATTGCCATCTGCAGATACACGCCAGAAATTCCAAGAACGAGAAGTGACAAGGTCGCTGGGAATAGCGTAGCAATTTTTGAACGTCGCCTGGGGCCATCTATGGCCTATAGCCTACTTAGTTCCTTTATTAGTGGTCGGTGGTACGGGCGGAGATCCCAGGCAAAGACTGCGCGTTTGGAATCCATGGTATGGCAAGTCGATCGAGGCACTCTATTCTTACTGATTATAGATTATACAACATATAAAAACTATATAAGCTATAAATATATTAAAAATTATAAATATAATATATTACTACAGAAAAAGGTACTCTATTATTCTATTGTTGATGTGGATACGTAGGCAGTAGGTGTTTCGCTTTTCTTTACCAGACTTAGATCCCTCCTGTAGCTTTTCGCTGACACCCGTTCTTTTGAAGTTGTTCAAGCAAAGCGGAGGTTGTGTGTATCTTTCTTGCGGGAGGATGGCAAGGTGAAGGAAATTGAACAGCTCGTGAAGGTGGCATTGGACTCAGACAACGCGTTGCCCGCAGCATCTCCAATGCGATCGGAACTGATTCTCTTGAAGCCTCTCCTTACGCCTATGAGCAAGGATGTGACCATCGAAGTGCTGGAAGAGAACTTGGCCAAATTTCAGGACGACAAGCAGCTGAAGCTTCACAAAGTCATGGCCAATTTTCCTACAGGGCTTTTGATTTTGAGGGTGCATCCAAAGCCGTGACTGCCAGACACAAAGACAAGGAGCTGGAGGCAAAGCTCCAATCAATCATATCAGCAGAAAGGAACCTGGGCCAAGACGGAAACTCTTCCTTGACTGCGCTGGTTGAAGCTGCGCCGCCGCTCCGGAATCTGTTCATGCAG